TTCGATGCTCTGCACAGTGGGGGAAGAAAAGTCCCTTGATTTCGATCTGTCTAGAGAAAATCAGCTTTACATAATTAAATAAAGTAATAATTGAAGACCTAAGTAGGTATTGAAACTCAAGATATATATTTATAAAATATTTGAGATATGATGCAGAGGACRTAGACACACTCACACAAAGTCATTCAAAAATATTTTATAACAGCAATATAAGACAGCTGCTTATGTCTCTGTACTGTGATATAAACACTCAGGGAGCTGTAGAGCACTCGAGAAGCAAGAGAAACACTCAGCCACACCTCGTGTTCCTAAGCTTGCTTCTCTTTTGCTCTACCGCTCCCAGCATGTTTATATCACGGTCAGAGACATGCGTGCACGTTTTATATTCCTTAGATATATACCTTACCAATAAATTCTGCAACTACTTTACAAAGTACAAATAGCAATTAATTGTACTCCTCTCAACCAATCAGATTCTAGTAATTTTGTTGAGTTTACTATAAATGAGTTATTTAGATGATAATCAGATCACTAGTCATCTAGTTCCTTTGAAAATAATTTATCCTTATGTTGATATTGTGTTTGCTTCTTTAGCACTAGCCTGTGCTTTAGTTTTTCTTCTCTACAGCAAAGTAAGAGGTAAGCTAATAAATGTACACCCTTCAAGATACAAAATGTGTGTAGTGTCTGTCACAGACTTTGTCATAATCCACCTATCAACGTTAAGCCCCATGGGCAGCCTACCCTCAGGAATGTGACGTTATTCAATGCCCCAGCAGTAGGGAATTTGATGTGGCTGCTGTCTTGAAAAAGCCAGAAAATACAATTTTGACTTTTATCAGTTGGTGCAAAGGCTCTATTGGTTATATGTTTTAGGCTACAAGTTAAATTTGTTTCATGCCCCAGATGTTTGAAGCAGTTTTTCATTTTGGCTAGAGGCAATCATTTACCAGGGGTCGAGTGCATTACATTCCCAAGCCATAAATATTTTTTTCATGAGAACATGGCTGTTGAGTAGCGGGAATATTTATTGCTTCCTATGGGAATGCACTCGGCCAATGGTAAACTTGATTGGCATTTGCTAAAATGCTAAACAGCTCAAAACGTCTGGACACTCTGGTCTGGAGCTGGTTAGGTCGCAGAAATATGAAACGGGCTGTAATCATGGTTTTTGATAATAATTTGCAGGTGCTGATGTTTGTGGTAGTGACAAGAGTGTTGAGAATCAAGTAGTTCTAAGTAAAAGCATTGGAAACAATGGCAATATTACACTTTTTGAAGAAGAAGAGCTGCTACCAAGGATGACGTGTGCCTGGCAGATCACAGCTCCTCCGGGTTACAGCGTTGTCTTAAAGGTAGATTGTCCTGGAGAAGCAGTGGAAAGATCAGAGACTTTAGTGTTTGATGGCAACTCTTCCTCAGATGTGTTGCTGTGGAATTCATCTAAAACATATCCACCATTCGATCCTTTTACTTTATTCTCCAGTGGCGAGAGTATGAGAGTTGTCTTAAAGACAATGAATACCTCAGAAAGCAGCCCAATGCTTTATAAGTATGTTGCTGTCGTTTATGCCGTCCAAACAGCCCCTGGTGAGTGGTCATTCATTTTGTTAATTTATCCTTCACATATTATGTACTTGTTACTACTATTAGAGCGAAGCCATTATATTTAACCCGCGAAATAAAAAATACTAGTCAAAATGTAATAGTCAAATAGACACAAAAGAAAACATTGGATTTAGGGACTACTAATGTGTATTAGTCTAATATTTATTTCACAGGTTTAGTGACTTCACTCTAAACCTGCTTGTTTCACACACACAAAGAACATTACCGAAAATAAATGACATAGTCTTAAATGTGTATAAATATTGAAGAGAATGAATGATAAAAAGATGTATAATTTTCATGTAAAATTAGGAGTTTAGTCCAAGATAGAAAGCACAGTGTCCAATCCAGAGTCCAGTCCAGAGTCCAGTCCAGAGTCCAGTCCAGAGTCCAGTCCAGAGTCCAGTCCAGGTTCTCGGACATGCCGTTCCTGGAGGAAAATTTCCATTTAAAAATACACTTAACTGATGCAATTTTTGGATGGCACTTTGTTTCTCTAAATACCATAATTAGTATTGTYAACAACTGTCAAATTACAGTAATTTAGTCATTTTATGGAAAACACTGACCACTAATAACTTCATTTTATAGATTACACAAATAATCATGTGGTCAGCCTCAGAGCTTCCTCGACTGTTGCCAAGTTCACCAGTCCCTACTACCCTATAGCATACCCTCTGAATGTTTCATGTGTTTGGCGAATCCAAGCACCTCGTGGGAAATTCGTACGTCTACAGTTTGGCAGGCCACTTGTCGAGTATAAACATCTACAAGTCTATGATGGAGAAGAGTCGATAGAAAACCTTCTGTGGGAATATGTTAGTGGTTGGTTATTTCTGAGACCTTATGTAATATTTTCATACACTCAACCACTGTTGATTAAGTTCAAAAGTGGATCTATTCCCAGGAGTAATGGGTTCAAAGGCTTTGAAATGGAGTATACGGCTGTTGAACCAGGTAAAGAGAAACTCTTGACATTGTAACACACACTAACTGCTTATGAAGTGGGAAGCATGGGTGGCTGTTGCTCTAATTCAACCTTCGGTCTTATGGGGTATTGACCAGAAGACCATTCAGGATGTGGGTCCAGTTGTTTTAAAATTAGTATAATATGCCTATCAAGCCTACAGGATCTCTTCCTGATTTCAAAGCCTTTATAAAATAAATAAGAATGGCCTTGACTTTCTTTTTGATATCTCTTTTCGTTGCCGAGATATTCAAGTAGAAATCACGAAATGATGATGTCAACCCAGGATCCTTGTAAAAAGGCAAATCGTCAAATAGATAATATCTTTGTGAGAATCTCATGTTGGTTATAGTGTGCTATGACCGCCAAATGTTCTCTATTCTCTATTTGATGATTTGACTTTTTACGAGGATCCTGAGTTGACGTCATCATTATATACATTTATTATTTTTYCCCCCTAGGATGCACTGCCAGTAATCCAGGGGTTGGTTTCAATGCATCATTCGGTAGTATATCAACTCCTGGTTTTCCATCAGACGTTCCAACAAGGGCAATGACTTGCGTATGGTCTTTAAAAGCCCCCGTTGGCCATGTCATCAAACTAGATCTAGATACAATCAACCTACTTCCAGACAAAGTCCACGTCTGCTCAGGATTATATATCAAATACTTACCAGTCTATGAATTTACAAGATTTGATTATGTTCTTACATGTAGCGTCTATGAGTCAAGGACATTTGTTTCTAGTGGCAGAAAAATGCAAATCGTGTATACTCAACCAGCGTATGTAGGACGGAGGTCAGTTGGCGTTATTGCCAAATATGCAGCCATTCCTTTAGGTATGAAACAAACAAAAAATTTTAAGATTCACATTGTTTGTTATGTGCGCAGCGCTCGTTTCATTGCTTTTAAACCTTGCGCATTACTCGTTTCATTGTTGCTTCCGTGTGCAACATTCATTTCGTTGTTTTTAAGCCTTAGGCATTATTTGTTTCATTGTTGCTTGCGTGCGCAACACTCGTTTCGTTGTTTTTAAACCTTGCGCATTACTCGTTTCATTGTTGCTCCCGTGCGCAACATTGATTTCGTTGTTTTTAAACCTTGCGCATTACTCGTTTCATCGTTGCTCCCGTGCGCAACACTCGTTTCGTTGTTTTTAAACCTTATGCATTACTCGTTTCATTGTTGCTCCCGTGCGCAACATTCATTTCGTTGTTTTTAAACCTTGCGCGACACTTTTTTCGTATGTTAGGTGCCTTACTAAATTGGTTAATGCGAATAATCGCACTGTATTTTTTTATCTACAGTAACAACAGGAAGCTGTGACGCAAACCAACCAGGTACTATAAACCTGCATGGAGAAGCGGCTACATTCCACAGTCTGAGTTACCCCAAGCATCACCCTGGCAACATGAATTGTATGTGGAACATTACAGTCACTGGCGGTCAAGTCATCGAGCTCCTCATCTACACTAATTTTGGTTCTGATTGCGACAAAGAATATATTCAAATCTATGATGGCGCAACCAAGTCGAGTCCCCTGATAAAAAAAGTGTGTGGAGTTAGTGCAAGAAAGTTATATTCATCACGTAATCATCTGTTCGTCGAATTTATTGGTGAAAGTCCGTCACAAGGCTTTATCGGTACATTTGTTGCAAGGAAGGCAGCACCTAAACCTTATGCTTGCTCATCTCGTGAGTTCTACTTCAACCAAACGCAAGGGATGTTAGCGAGTAGGAGATTTCCATTGTCGTACCCCAATAATGTCATTTGTGAATGGTATATAACAGTTCCGAGTGAGTATATAGTCAATTTTACGGTATTGTTCCTCGACCTTCAACCGGATCCCTCGTGCAGTAAGGACTATCTCTTATTGAGTGAAGTAGTTGAAGGATTCAGAGACGGAAAAGAAATAGCAAAGATTTGTGGTACAAACATCAGTCAAGTTTCGTATCAATCAACAAGTAAAAAAATGATTGTCGAGTTTCGTTCAGATGCTATTGGAATGTACCCTGGATTTGAAGCCAAGTTTGAAGCTGTGTATAAACGTAAGTACTCTTGGGTCCCCCCTCCCCTCCCCCCTGCAAAACCTAACATGCTAAATTGCAATTAAATCTGGGAGTTAGCCGTGTCCTGACTTTGATCAGCTGAGAGGTTGTGTCAGGGTTCTATCCATGAGTTAGCAGAGCCCTGACTTAAATCAGCCCAGAGGTTGTTTCAAGGTTACGCCCGCCTCATGGGTAGAGGAGATAAGGATCAAGCCCCCAGGGGGAGAGGGAGAGAGAAAAGTAAACGATTTCACCTTTGGAAGCGTGAATTTTGTGCGCGCAGTTTTGCTCAATGTTTTTGAGAGAATTTGAACTCATATTGTCCTCATTTTTCTTTGTAGCTCCCAAACACACAAGTAAAGCCAGCAGTAAAGGTAAGGGAGGGGAGGGCCAAGAAAAGGAAGACGGTGGGGAGAGGGGGTGGAGATATGATATAAGAGATGACGGGGAGAAAGGAAGAGGGATATATGGGATAGGGGAAAGGGAAATCCCAGTCGTATAGCATAGAGAACATTCGAAGTCGAAGATATAATCCATCTTTGGTTTTTGCAATCGGTTCTCTCAATTAACACTGCGACATCACTAGCGTAGGGAGGGGAGACAGGGGGCACGTGCCCCAGCCCCCCCCCCCCCCCCCCCCCCCCCCCCCCCCCCCCCCCCCTGGATTTAGTGGGAAAATTCATCCCCTCTCAACAATACTTCCAATAATTCCTCTTCCTGAATCTGTTTTTCCTGTTCTTCCACAACAGTGTCTACAGTGACAATAGTGCTGATCGCAGTCTTCAGCGTGGTGGGTGTGATCGGGTTAGCCATTCTGATTGTTTGGATCGTCAAGTACAGATACCACTGCTGCGCAGATCAAAGTCGAGGGAAATTTGACATGATGAAAATGGACGACACTGACGACGTGAAAATGTGACAATTGATACAGTCTCCCCTTGGGTCCATTGATCTCTAAAAATAGGATGTCAGGACGAATCCTTCAGAAATACTGAATGCAAACGATTTTCATGGAAGATTGTCGTAGAATGGGTTTCGTTAGGGTAATTTTGAGTGAACCAAACGGGACTTGACACATTTGCGGTAGTAACCAAAAAAGTGAACTTGTTATCGCTAATCACCACCGCAATGAAAGAGACATTCTTATGATAGTTTAATATGAATTTGTTTGAATGGTTTATTAAGATTTAAATCGCACATCAATATAGAGTACACTTAGTCACACTGTTGAATAACTAGATAACTTTATACAACTTAAAACTAGCAGCAGTAAGGGGGACTCGCGGTCAATGTCAAAGATTTACGGGTTTTACAGGCGGTTTAAGGAAGGCGCCGGCAGCGGGAATAAGCCGCGCGATAAGTCCTTACTGCTGCT